TGAGGAATCTAATCCAGCTAGGGTCATCGAATGCAGGGGACTATGTACTTCTTGCTACAATCTATTCAAAAGAGAAAAATGCAGATGGTGTTGCAAAGATGAGAAAGTTGATTAAAACCGAGGGAGTAAAGACAACTCCTGGTTGGAGCTGGATTGAAATTGGTGATCAGGTTCACAAATTTGTTGTGGACGACAAGTCACATCCTGACACTAATGAAATTTATCGGAAACTGAGAGCAGTTGTTAATCGAGCTGCTCTGCACGGTTATGTCCAGGAGAAATGTCTTATCACAACTTCTGAGTTTCCCTTCATAGACACAGATTGTTTAGGAACTTCTGCTTCATGTCACAGCGAGAAGCTGGCAATCACTTTTGGCCTGGCAAGAACTCCAGAAGGAACGCCTTTACGAATAGTTAAGAACCTGAGAGTTTGTAGAGATTGCCATTCGTTTACAAAGTTTGTTTCGCAAGCTTTCGATCGAGAAATAATTGTTAGGGATCGTGTTCGGTTTCATCACTTCAAGGGTGGATTATGTTCATGTAAAGATTATTGGTAACTTATCCAAGTGATTTGAATAAAATGAGAATTTTTTTTTCCATCCATTAAAATTTCCCTTGTGCCATCGAGATTTCTCGAAGAAAACGAATAAAATGAACACAGTGAGGCAGAACACTGGAAGTTCATAATCTAATCTGCAAGTTGTAGATTTGAAGCACGTAGTATTATAAATAAATACTTGGAAAATATGCCCTTTGTTCCCCTTGAAGAAGGGTTCCAAATTATCTTCATCCTTATCCGTTCAAAGTCAATTCTTTCAGATTTATAGAAGAACTGGGAAAACAAGTATATTTTTTCAGAGCAGGAATGGCAATTAACCATAGATTTGCATATTAAACTCATATTTTAAGGCTTTTTTAGCTAAAATGATCCAGGATACTGACATAACTCCTCATTTTGATCATTAAGATTGAAAATTAATAGAAATATTCTCTACTTTGTCCAACGTCAATTATTTTGGTCATTCTGTGAAAAATTTCTGTTGATTTAAGTGTTTTTGTCCAACCAACCCTTTCACTTGCTATTCCATTTAACAGAACATTTTCACCGAATGACCAAAATGATTGCCGGTTGACAAACTCAGCGACCTCTTCTATCGATTTTCAATATTAGGAATCAAAGTGAGGTGTTATGCGAATTGCTTCATTACTTCCAATTGATAAGCCGCACTCAGAAGCAAGTCTGTCCCATCGCTGCATCAAAAGCCGTTTAGAAAAACAATAATGCATGCTCGGGTCATCAAATTTATGCACCAAATTTATTCACCAAACGATGTCTCAATATAAGCGTCAGTATTTTATTTATCACAAATAAATCAGGTTTACATTGAATTAAAATTTAATCAATCAAACACTATCATGTCATTTGATGAACAAATTTGGTGTCAGTACTATGTAATTTTAGGATATATTCTCCAAAACAAGCATATGCTCTTGGAAGTTTCTTTCTAATTTTCTATATGTAACCTGGAAGGAGCTTAATGATGCCGACGTGGTCGTCTTAAAGCTGCTCGAAGGATAGTTAGTACTTAATAAAGTGTTTGTGATGGGATTAATAAAATGATTGATGAAGTTGGAGATGAAGACCCTCCAACCAAAGATGCAAAAAAAAGATGAAGGTAACAGATAACAGAAAAAACATTTGCCGGAAGCAACCTCCAAAACATGACAATTCTGAGAAGTAAAAAATAGAGATTGTCTAAAACAATGGAGTCTAAACAAAGGAGTTTGTGAGACCCCACTGGAGGATAGAGGCAGTCTTAGCTTTGCATACATTCTAACAACTCAACCAAGGGAAACAACAATTGCATTGGCAACCTTCCACATGCAAACAATACTTTTATTCATTTATTTGAGTTAATATTGTCTAAGTTACAGAGAGAGATTCGAATTTAAATGCTAAAAGATGACACGTTGCATTAACCAACTTAGTTACACTTGTCGGGTGGGTGTAGCCCAAGTAGTTCTTGGGGTGCCCCATATAATACTTTCAAGTAACCTATTAGTTTAAGGCTCCTAATGCGGTCTCGTGGTTTCTTATGATGGATTGGAAGAATTGTTTTGGCGACTTCGTCAAATGCGATTTAGGTGTGCACATATTCATAGAGAAGGAAATCAAGTTGCAGAAGCTTTAACTTCTTTTGAGGCAGAAACTTATGCTTATTATTGGTGGTCTACAATTCCAGATTTTGTAGCCTCTGCTCATAATTTCGTTTTGTTCTTATTATTGTTTTCGTTGATTGTTTTTGTCATTGCGGGTCTTGTCATAGTCCCCGTGCTTGGATCATTTTTGTTTACTTTCATTTATTATCAATATATTTGGTGGAAGATGGACATGCAGGGGGGTGTAATGGCCCTCTCCTCTTCTGAAGAGAGTAGTTGTCGCACACGTGACCATTACCGAATAGCTAATCTCACATATTCTTTGCCTAAATGTTTATATTTCATTTTTCATATTGCAATTGCATTATATTGATGATAATATTAAAATCTCAATTTAGATCTTATGGATTTTCCTATTTGCTTGGTGAAATATATATCCATATTCTCGATTCCCCTATCCATTTTTTTCTTTCTATTTTTAATTGTACCAACTTTTGTTGGTAATAAAAAAACAAATGGACAACTAATTTGTATCAACATTAAGAACAACTAATGACAAAATTAATGATTTTTCAACTTCATCTAATTTTTGTTTCACAATTTGTTGTCTAAAAAAATGAAAATAGATGGAATTTATCGAAATGTCGGTGGCTAATCTAACAAATCTATTATTTGACAAAAAAAAAAAAAGATGGAATGTATCGACTCATCACATTGAAGTTAAAAGGTCAATTTATATGAAAAGTAATGTTATGTAGACTAAATTTGGAAAATAATTGACGTGTCACGTATAAGAAATAAACACTTAAGTGATAATCCAATTATTTCTTATGATTTTAGTTTACAAATTTAATCTCTGTAACATTACCCTTTAGTGAATAGAATGAGGTGGCTCATAGCCTTTTACTTGGTATTTACTAAAATGATCAAATGCATGTGGTCCAATATTTTCGTAAATAAGATGTTGAGTTTTCACACATGCATCATGAGTTAGAAACTCTCTCATTTTCTAAATTCTTTTAATAATTTTGAATTCTTCATTCTTTTAATAATAATAAAATTGAAAAATAAAAAAGCTCAAATGATCAAATCCCGCCCCTTCCATGAGTTGAATTATTCAAACAAAAGTACAACCTAGCCAATCACACAAAAAAAAGTGCAAACTGAAAAAGTACAAAGGCTTACCAATGGGAAGCAACTAAAATTTGGGAACTTTAACGAAAAACTCACGGTACTGTTCACTTTAACGAAAAATCACATTTTTACATTAAAAAGTCAATTATGATATTATTCACTTTATCCTTTATTTTGTCCTTATATTTAAAACTCAAAGTTTCCAAACCCTTTTCATTAATTTTCCTATAAAAAATTTCTTCTCAATTGTTGGTTGAAATTTAAAAAATGTATTACAAAAACTAAAATGTCAAATTAAAGGCAATCAAATCATAATACATGTAGCACTCGAAAAAAAAAAAAATCATAATACATGTAGCACTATACATGCCATTATTTTTATATCAGAAACAAATATGATTTAGAGTTAGCTCATATTATTATTTAACGAATAAAAAGCTTTGAGATGACAATACAGTATGAGCCTTAATATTCCAAAAACGCTCTCATAAGTGATTTCTCTCACTTATATTTAGGTTGCAAACATTGTAACAGAATATCTACCGCATAACAGTTAATTATCATTGCAAAATTTGGCACACCTGTTCAATTATATATAAAAATATAAATAAAAAAATATGCACATGTATTAAACTGTGTAATACATCTCACAGGGTCAAATTACAAACTGAAAGAAAAGAAAGATGCATAAAGAACCATAGAATTAGACAATATTGTTGAGAAGAATCGTTCATACGATTTATCATCAAATTATAATTAAGCACAAAGAACAAATAAAAATAAACAAAAATCTTCAAAAACAAAAAATAAAGAAAAACATAAATCTTATGTGGGTCAGATCTGCTGTAGTCGCGAAGGGCCGGTCAACGCTTTGCTCAAAAAACAGAGGGATGGTCAAGGACTCAAATGTGACTCATGACTTAGCTTTGGGTTCAAATCTCTCATAAGGCAAAGGCATGCCCCATGCTTTGCCTTTACCTTCACTCACAACATCGACATCAAATAATCAAATATTACCAGCTTAGCTAAATCAAGCAAAAACCAGACGGTCTCAATTACGAGAAGTGAATTCTGCACACGTCTTTTTTTTCTTCTTCTGCACGTTCTTATGTACTTTTAGTGTTTGGATTTTGAAAAATGATTTATGCACATTTTGTTTTACTTCATGCAAACTTCTGTTTAGTTTTGATATATGTATTGGATAAATCAAAATAAGAATCAAGAAACAAAAAATAAACAAACATGTGCATAAAAATACTTACATTCCCCCTATGGGGTTCTTTGAGATGTGCTCATCTTTCCACTTGCAGTTAACGTATTTTCATTATACGAATTTCATAATCAAAACAATTTAATCTCTTAATCTTCATTTGAAGATCATCGGTACAAAAAATCATTCGAATAGGATATCGTTTAGCCATCAAAATATGTAGACAAATGGACGGCTTATCATTAATATGTTACTTTGTATTTGATTTATTTGAAACATTTAGATAACTAAACGATGTCCGATTCAAATGATTTTTTTTGTATGGATAATCTTCAAATGATATTAAGAAATTAAACGGTCCTGATTATGAAATTTCTACTGTAAATATACGTTATTTGTAAGTGAGAATGCAATAATTATTTACCAATACGTACCAAAAGCTTCGACATTCAACGACTCCTCTGCTATAAGTACTCGGCCCACCCATCATTTCCTATTCATTCACACATCCACTTTTCTCTTCCCTTTTGGTCTTCTTGTAATAGTCTGCATTTTCTTCCCAATTACAACCACCAACAATGGCGGCTGTCTTTGCTCTCTTTCTTGTGGCTCTTGCCACCGTCTTCGGCAGCTCTGCCGCTGATCCTGACATGCTTCAGGACATTTGCGTTGCCGACTACGCCGCCGGTAACTCCCTTTTCTTCTTCGTCATCAATTCTTTATCTATATTCCCAGTGTTTCAGTATTCTACTGCTAAAAGTGAGCACAGAAGTTCATGTCAAAAGAAAAAAGACTACAAAGTTGCCACTTTTCCTTGTCCCCTCCATTATAAAGTTGACTCTGTTCATTAGTTGCTTTTCATGTTGTAAATGATTTCTGGAAAGTTTTGTGTCGAATATTCCAGCTTTTCTTTAATTTATAATTTTTTTTGTTTTGTTATTTTATTGTGTTTAAGCCCAGTAATCATGGATCAATCACATTGAGCAGTTCTTGATTTCTGGAAAAATTTAGAACAAAAACCATGATTAATTACCCTTTCTTTGATTACTTTTTGTTGGTTAGCTTTACTTTCTCTCACTTTTTTGCTATTAAGCCAACTAATCATGACCTTAGATTTAATTAGCCCCAAGAATTAAGCACATGAACCAACTAACACACAAGAACCTGATTAAGAAAACCCAATTGAAAATTAAGTACAAGTTTTGCTTAATCCAACTCAACTGCGGTAACAGGCGTGAAAGTGAATGGGTTCGTCTGCAAGGACGCAGCAAATGCAACCGCAGAGGACTTTTTCAGCGCCGGACTAGCCAAACCAGGCCTCACCAACAACACATTCGGCTCCCTGGTGACAGCAGCCAATGTCCAAAAAATCCCCGGCCTCAACACCCTCGGCGTCTCGCTCGCCAGAATCGACTACGCCCCCGGTGGAATTAACCCGCCTCACACCCACCCCAGAGCCACGGAAATTGTTTACGTTCTTGAAGGAGTATTGGACGTCGGATTCATCACCACGGCAAACAAGCTCATCAGCAAAACCATCCAGAAAGGCGAAGTCTTTGTGTTCCCCAAAGGGTTGGTTCACTTCCAGAACAACAACGGGAAGGGTCCGGCTTCCGTGATTGCCGGGTTCAACTCTCAGCTGCAGGGCACGGTGAACATTGCACTCACATTGTTCGCTGCCACGCCGGAGGTGCCGGATCATGTGCTGACTAAGACATTCATGGTGGGAACTAAGATGGTCGACAAAATCAAGTCTAGGCTTGCACCCAAGGCCTAGAGAAGGGTAGAGAGGCTTTGAATTTGTATGTGTTTGTGTTTGTTTTACAGTTTGATGGGATGTGCCACTTGTTATCGTGATCATTGTATGCAGCCTCTCTCTTTGATTAATCAAAAGTTGTTTACATTTTTGCTTCTGTGGTTGTTCCTTCAAGATTTTTTACATGTAATTTTTCACTTGAGTTAAATTTGTTGGCTTCTATTCATAACAATGGACTTCAGAACCAGAAGTACTTATAAGCAACGGGGACTCCATTATGGCTATATCATTATTGAGCGAGAAAGTTCAAACGCATGGCAGATGTTACTGACTTGACATACTGGGGAGGTGGGGAATGAACCCACGCCAGAGTGCATAGGGATTATTCTTTTCCGCCACTGCGGTAAAGCGTCATCTGCAAAAATAATGTTACATTTTTTTTTTACAAACAATATTTACTACACTAAGGGAGTGGATGAGTGAGCTAAGCCTCAGAGGTGGATGAGTGAGCTAAACCTCATAATGGACTAGCAATAATGTGGTTCAAATTCACATCTTGCGATAATCGAACCTAAAACCTCTCACTTGCATGTGAAGAGGAACACCACCACTACTAGGCCGTAGTATTAAGTGACAATTGTTAGATTTATTTGTTCCAAACTATATAAGAATTGAAAGGCAATATTTTTGTTCACCACCCTATTCATCGCCGTCAAATGAGTTTAAATTTTGAGATCTGTGTAAAGAGACACAAATATCGAAATTTAAATTCATTCAACGATAATAAATAAAGTGATCAGCATTACCACCACTTGAGGGTGGTGAGCAAAAATGCACCTGAATTGAAAAGCACATCCAGCTCACATGTTTTGTATGGTAATGGCAAAGAAACAATAATGTAGAATAAACAATTAGCATGAGTTGGGAGGGATTAGGTGCATTATATGACTAAACATGTTAAAAGCTTAATTTGGATATGATAAATAAACCCTATTAGGTTAAAAACATGATTAGCTGTTGCTAATGACACTATTGTTTAACTATCATCGCAACGTTTCGGTCAAATGAAAGTCGAAAGAAAAGAAAACGCGTTTGCTCTCTTCGTATTTACTCGACTTTTCTCTTCCAACTCAATCAACCACAAAGCTTGCAGTGAAATTATGGACCTATTTGTTTTGGATTAACGTTCAAACTACGGCGATGCATTAACATTCAAACTACGGTTACGTATACAATATTCGGATGGAAAATGATTTCCACGCACTTTTTTTTTCTCCATCTGTACTCCTCCCCTTGTGTTTGCCCGTCGTTTCGCCTTTGATTTATTCAACACAAAAGCCAGAAAGGAGCATGCAGGCACACGTGAAGTGCAGAAATCAGGTCCCTGTTCGAATACAAGCAGAACATGAACGGCAATTCATCTATAACTTCAAGTTTTAGATAAAACATTTCAATCTGTTCCAACTAAAAAACTGTTAAATCAAAACGAAATCAACAATGCAGTTGAACATAAAGCACCTGAAAATTGTAAAGGTTTTACTTCGATCCAGTCTGCTGCCTGCCGTCGGGGATAGCAAATAGAACAACGGGTTTTGAAGGCCTGAGGTAGGGAACATCGCATCGGAAATATCCTTTCCTCTCCAGCTGCAATATATCCCCACACTTAAGGTTTCGCATGTTGGAATCCCCAAGCGCTGCGGTCTCCTTTTCGGTACATGGGTTAACAACATCGACGAAATCCTCATCTTCCTCGAGCTGAGGTCACAAGTTACAAAAAACAGAAAAGATAACTCAGCCTGTACGTAATATACACCACTTTAAAGAAAAGAATCAGCTTACTACAGATAAGCCATAGACCCCCAAGTTCCGTTTTTGTCCTTGAGGAAAGAAAATCCGAGGTGTTTGCAATCCACAGATTAATTCATAAGTAACATGCTAAGACGTAATAACTTAATACTCGTTGATTGCGACATACCTTCTTCTTTGTTATCAGATGATCAAACTCCATCAATGAGAGCTTAACTAGCTCATCTGATTCAGGGAGCCAGGTGAGCTTCAATTTTGTGGTCTTGACAGAACCCTCAGGATGCAAGACCCCTGTGAGTTTGAGATTTCCGTCAGTGTCTTTCTCAATTCCCTTAACAATGGCGTTCCCCCAATCCATTAGGGTTACTTCCTCGTCTACTTTGATGGACTCCGCATCAGCATAATCTAGCCATATCCTCCTTGTGTATGTTGTTGCCTTCTCCCCAGCACCTTCGTACTTCTTATGCCTAGGAATGATGCGGACAAATGGTTTCTCAGGACCATTAGTCAGGGTCAACAACACGCGCCGCTCTTCGATGACGGCAGTATGTCTTGGGCATACAGGATCAATTATCTTCTTATTAATAGTCCAGAGTTTGTCCCATTCCATGAGATTCAGATTTTTTGAAGCCCCCTAAAACATAATAGTATAAAATCAGTTACAAAATTAATCATTCAGAAGACTATAAATTGAATTCTCGCCTTTTGTATACAAAATAGTACCAAGTAAGGAAAAACAATTGTGAAATTAAGGACATAAAAGAAGCATTGGTCAGGCATTATATATTTATATGTTATAGGCATAGCTCATAACTTCTTTGATGCATAATACTACGACAGACTAGTGTCCTACCTGCTCAAGAATGAATTGTATTAATGCTTCAACTTTGAGACCTCTGCGCACAATTCCTTGGACAGTTGGAAAACGAGGATCGTCCCATCCACTAACCTTCTCATTCTGAACGAACCACAAAAGCTTGCGCTTACTGAGAAGTGTATAAACCATGTTCAACCTACTGAATTCATAGATATGCACTTTTCGCAGTCCCATATCCTCTTGAACTCGATAGTACTGAGCATTGCGGTCGTGATACTCACTAGATCGAAGTGCATGTGTAATACCTTCTATAGAATCAACAAATGGACAAGCAAAATCATAAGTTGGGTATAAGTTGTACTTGGACCCAATCCGATGATGTGGTGTTGGATTGCAGCGATAATAAACAGGATCTCGAAGAGATTTGTTTGGATCCTGCATATCCAGCTTCCCACGGACACAGCACTCCTTACCCCTCTTAGACCCAGCAATCATTTCATTCCATAATTTTAGATTCTCCTCTACACTGTTGTTTCTACATTTTGATTCAATGCCATCCATCCTTTCTTTCTTCATCTCCTCACGTGGCGTATCATCAACATATGCTTTACCCTGGCGAATCAGATTCTCAGCCATTTCCATCAACTGTGGGAAGTAATCTGAAGTATAGGTAACCGTTTCATACTTGATACCCAAAGTCTCAATATCCTTGAGAAGATTGTCCACAAACTCATTGCTTTCTTTATCAGGATTTGTATCGTCAAACCGCACAATAAGCTGACCCTTATACCGCTGAGCAAAATACTGATTCAATAATGCTGCTTTTGAGTGCCCAATGTGAAGATAACCACTGGGCTCTGGTGCAAATCTCAGTCGAACCTTTCCAACCTCCGCTTCTGGAAGATCTACTTCAGATGTTGGTTTGCTTCCTGCTTTACCTTTCTCAGATACATCTCCATTTACACTCTTCAACTGCTGATCGGCCTGAGTGCCTTTTGTTTTAGTTGCGGTTGGCTTTCCTGAGCCCTTCTTGCCAATGAAGGTAGCTGTGACTTCATTCAGGGCATCACCATATTCGGCTAATAGTGAATTGAACCACCGAGAAAGGTTTGGATACTTCTTTGAATTCCTCAAACCCTCCCATCTTTTCCCAGTTCCTGCTAAGAAAAACGTATTAGGGCCAGTTCGGGATTTGCCTTTTTGACAGCCAAAGCGCTTCTAACTAGTATGGTAGATTAAGTTACAAAGCATTTCCGGGTCACAGAGGCGCTTTCTGGAAAAACACCTGCTAGGTGCTCCTTCAGAAAGTACCTCTTTTAATAAAAATTGACAATGGTTACAATAAAAGCACGTCTAGCAGAATTGCTCTCGAGCAGAAGTGCTTCTTACAGAAGCAGACCCAAACCTCCAAAAAGCACTACTTTTAATGTTACTTGTCCTTAAATTTCTACTTATTCGTAACCATGCCATATAAAGATCAAAATTAACGACTAACAAACCGTGAGAGAAGCAAAGCTATACCTGCAAGACCTGACCAGATTGCGATATCGGCGATGGACAAAGATTGATTAGCAAAAAAGGTACTGCTTCCCAGATAGTCATCCAAATGTTTACAAGCACTCTCAAACGCAGAACCCTGTGAAAGCACAGGCGCGTACTCAAGCCACTCATCAATCTTCCCGGCTTCGAATGGATTGTCACCATACAATTTCGCAATTCGGCCGATGTATCGGAGAAGTACATTTTTTCCATGCAATTTCAACCTAAATCCAAAGATTTATGAGATGCTTTGAACATGTAGTTTAACCTTTTGCAAAAAAAAAATAAAGAAAAGAAAAAAAAGGTACAAACAAATTTCATGGGGCAAATAGTAAAAGGGTTTAGGGTTTACCCATTGGAGAATTGCAAAGAATAAAGGGAATCGGGAGGGAGAGAGGCGTCGGTGGGGAGAGAGATTCCAGCGAGCTTGGCGGCGAGGAGCTCCGCGAGCGGAGGGTTCTCGGCGGCGAACGAAACAGCCTTAATGTCCATCATCAGAATCCAAGGTGTAGATTTTGCTCCTGGACTTGTTGCTTGATTGGCTGCTGCAAATGTATTGATTTAAATAAGAAGATGAGATGAAGAGAGAAACGCAAACGACGGCGACGATGTGCGAAACCAGACACAGCTGATTCAGTGGGCGCACTAAAAGCGAGTCAAAACTAACGGACCGATGGGCCGTCACAATTTTCTTTCCGCAATCAGGCCTAGAGTTCAAAAAAATTGTTTTGATATTTAGGAATATCAGCTTTAAAATAAAGCAGTTGAACGTTTGATAATTGTATTTTTAAAAGTGTTGGGTATGAAAAACAATGTAAATGTGTTTATAAATTTTTAAAAGTGTTGGGTATGAAAAGCAATGTAAATGCATTTATAAATTTTTTGATGTGAAAGTGATATAATTATGTATAATAACAATGGTGGTGAAGGTGATGGTTGTGATGGTGATGGTGGTGGTGGTACCAATAAGGGGGTGTGGTGGTTGGGCTGCTGAGGTAATAATGGTGGTAAGGGCAGGGACAACAGTGATAGCGGCAACTGTGGTTGTGTTGGCAATGATGGCAATTGTGGTTGTGTTGGCAATGATGGCGGTTGTGTTTCTTGTGGAGCCAAAAAATAATCAAGAGGCGACAGGTGGATTTTTTGGCAAAAATGACAAAATTGTCCTTGAGGAGCACCGGAATTCCTACACGCGATCAATTGGCAAACATCCCACAATCAAGTCAAAAGTGCCCAAAATATGTATTTATTCAAAACCTATTTCATCCATCTTCTCCACAAGTAACCCCCAAAACATTCCTTTTAAATTATGTTAATTGGCTTATTAATGGATTTATTACCTAATTAATCCATTAATTGCCAATTAAACTATCAATCACAACAAAAAAATACACAAAAGGCCAGTCACCTTCTCTCCCAAAGGGACCGGCGATGCATTATATATTTGACCTCATCTTCTCTATAAAAAAAACTAAGTTTTCACTCTTGCTAAACACTCAAAAATTCTCCAAACACTTCTCTCTCAAAATGTTAACTTTGGCATCAGAGGTTCTTCAGCCAAAGCACCCCCCTTTCATCGTAGGCACATGAGGTTCTTAGCCTTGACCAAATGTGTTATTTGTTTTGTAGGTGCAATTTTATCCAAGATCAATTAGGAAGAATTTTGCATCCACATTTACGGTGAGGGTGGTGATGGTGGCGGCGACAACAATTGGCAGTTGTGGTTGTGGTGGTAGAGGTGGCGAGTATGGTTGTGGTGGTGGCTTTAATGGTGGTGGCGTGATCGTGGTGTGGTGGTGGTGGCAACAATGGTGGTGATAATGGCACTAGTGGTGTAAGAGGTTAGGGTCTGGAATGAAAGGTGTTGGTCACTTTGCTTTCCAATGATAAAATAAGTCTAGAAGGATAAATAATGTTATTTGTTTGCAATTAATGAACGTATTACAAGAATTGAAAATATTCATTGAAGGCTCAACTTTGTTTTTTATTAACACAACTTTCAAAAGCAACCTACAGGCCTGAAAGTCATTTCCTTTAAAATAAGCAGATTATTTTATTTTTATCAAATATTTTTTTTCTGCTTAACTTTAAAGTGAAGTAGCTTTTAGTAAAAAATAACAATAAACCACTACTCCTATCTTTATAAAGAAAACTAATGAAAAAAAATTTAAAAATTTAGATTTTTAACGATAATGACAAAATAAAGGATGAAGTGAATAGTAACAAGATTGATTTTTTAGTGTAAAAGTATGATTTTTCGTTAAAGTGAATAGTACCGTAATTTTTCGGTAAAGTTCCCATCTTTATATGGATAAATCTATTAGTTTCCTACGACTTTCGGATGAGAAAACAGACCGAAATAAAATTTAATTAGGTTGACAAATTATAAGAAGACATAATTAAGCCAAAAAACATGAAATGGCGGACAATTACAAACTTCATCCTCAGCAGGAAGTGCAACATCTCTTACCGTTTCTCTTTATATTGTTCTTCTTCACACATTGCTCTAAAGTTCTGTAAATCCACCACAAACCAAGACCATTTAAAGAACGCGAGACAGACGTGCTGATTTGCAGGTTAAAACCAACACGAATGATTCAACGGAAAAAGTTGTATGTACACTTGACGATCTGTGTCATCTGCCATTGAAAATTGTCTTAGGACTTACATCTTGTGTGCCGCAGCGAGTTCTACGGATATCATGAAGGTTGACCTACCTTCTTCCCTAAGATACCGTACGTCTCCATTCATGAGCTTCACTAGTTTACTGCTGATGAGCAGGCTAATGCCCTCCTCAGATATGTCTCCGTTGTTTCCAAACATCTGGTTCAGCAATCCTTCTGGAATCCCACCACCGGCGTGTGTGATCCTGTTTCAATATATCAAATCAGCATCTCGTGATAATTGCTTAACTTGTAATACAAGCAACCAAATTACACATGAAATCAGTAGTAGGTTATGAATTCAATTGTGAAGCTGTACCTGAGCTCCAAATGCACGAGCTGAACGGATTGTCCTAACCGATCTTTGGTCAAATTAGCTTCGATAGTAAGCTGGCCTCCAGTTGGCATAAAACTAACTGATACGGCTAAGAAATCAGCTATGACTTGTTGAAGCCTAAGACTATCCCCATATAACGTCTCAGTCATGATATCTTCCGCCGCATTGTGGACAATGCGGACGCTCTTGGCATTGCTCTTAATCATGACTTGACTGACAGCGGCATTCAGTACTTCATGCAATGTAAACTCGACCATCTCCAGGTCCAGGTAGCTGTCAAGGGATCAGAAAAACAAAGAAACATTGTCCAGTCAGAATAAACAAAGTCAATAGCTTCTCCAGAAAAGAACATGTTTCGGATTAATCTGCCATTCTATGAACCTAAAGCGGGTTGTTGTAAGGATATCAAGGTGCCAGCATGTAAGTTGTTTCAGACAAACAGATCTACAATAAACCAATTATCCAATCTGTGTAGCTTAATGTGAATTAAAAAAAAAAAAATCCAAGGTAAAATAAATCAGTCTTCAACGACTAAATCATACCCATCAATGATGGTATCAAGATCTGAATCATCCAGTATTTTGTTGAGCTGGTGCTGGCACTGGGCGCTCGTATGCAGAAGCCGTTGTTGTTCTGCTCCCAACTCAGTATCCTCCATCATTTTCCGAGAAAATATTATACCGGCTAAAGGATTCCGGATCTGCCTTCTAATATAAGACAATTCCTTCAATCTCTTCACAGCAGTTTGTTCTGATAAGCGTTGGACATGAAGTGCTTGTTGCAGCTCTGGGCTAGCAAGCTGCAAGAAGCAAAAGACCCCAGTGACTGAGCCCTCACTGTTCAATTTCTTACTCACGCACAGCAGGCATTCTATGTGTTTTCCACTACGAGCACAGAAACCAAAGGGAAGCTTTTCGGACACCTGACCTGTCATGGCATGGTTAAGTACAACACCAAGATTTACGAAAGATTCTTGGCTCTTGAGAGGACAACATGCCATGTTGATCCCAAAAACCTCTCCCAGAAGCATTTTATCCATTACCTCCTCTCGTTTCCACCCTGTTAACTTTGTCATTGCTGAATTCCACTCAGAACACCAGCCAAATTCATCTGTACCAAATATTGGGGGAATCAAGGGGCTAGGGTTTTGTACAATCGCTTTGTAATCACCCTCGATCCGGGTGAATTTGTCCATCACATTCTTCTGACCAGTGATATCCTGTGCCACAAAACACACACCCACAACATTTTCCCGAATGTCTCTACTTGCACAAGCATTCACAACTAAGCTGATGGGACCAAGATCAGCCCTAGAACCATGTGTTTTAATCTCGAATTGGATGTTTTGTTCCTCTTTGCCTGACCAGGAAAAAAAAGGATGAGTTTAATACAAACAGAGGACTATAATTGAAAACCTAATACATATCCATACAAGCATATAGCTATTTCCAGTAATAATTGAAAATCTAAAATGCCTACACTGTCAAATAGGGTAAATGAGTGACATACCATGCAATGCTGAGTCCAACATTTTCTTCACCACGCTAGTCGAAGAATCCTCCACGAGTGTGAGCAAATGCTTTCCGATTGCTTCATCAACAGGAAGACCAGTTAACTCATCAATTTTTGTATTCCACCCATTAACCAGCCCATCAACATCAACAGCCAAAATTGGAACCGTGGCTGTTTCAATTAAACGGACCATCTCACTTGTCACAGCTTCCAGTTCTTCCATCCCTTCAAGTTTGAGGTCACTAAGCCTTACATTGATTGCTTTGGTGTTTGCTTCCAAGGTAGTTTCAACATCTTTGAAAGCATTCCTCAGAATAAGCTGCAAAGAATGAATTGCATCCATTTCATAGTCCTTCCAAGGCAAGCTCCTCGTCTTGACAACTTCAAGGAAAGCCTTGAATGATGATCTAGGGTGCATTTTAGAACCATCATCTTTCTCACCGGTTTCATGTTTTGCACCACCCCATCGAATTTCTGCAGCAGTGTGGGATCGAAGCCAAAAGAGCACGTCCTTGGAAGTTATCCACACAGCTGCCATTCCACATACTACATCACCAAGAGCAAGAGCCCCAGGGAATCCTGCATCATACAAGCTATCTGTACTCAAACCTGTAGAATCCATATGGTACTCGGAGAGCCATGAAGCTATGTCATGAAGCTGAAAGTCACTCGGAGTCATTCCAAGTCTCCATACCTTGTTCTTGTACAATAGGGCAGCTCCATCACATTTCACTAGATCCATAACATTAGGACTCTGTGACATAATACCTAGGGGTGCATCTCGTAACAACATATCACACAACAGCGTTTGGGTGCGCAGGATGTTCTTCTCAACCATCTGATCTTCCATCTCTATCTCCTTATTGACATGTATTGCAAACACTTGAGTTAAAAACTCACAGGCATACCTGAGAGGGAAAGCAACAAATCTTGGACTAGTATTATGGCATACTACCAAACCCCAAAGTCTCTTTCTTTTTTGAGGCGGAACAGAATCAGGATCTCTCACCTCGTCATCCCCCTCATTAACAACTACTGCCATAACAAGAGATGCGATGGAATTCATATTCTTCATATATTCTAAATGGCAACTGTGTGGGGCTCTCAGGGTTGAACCGCACAATGTGAGATCCAGCGGAAGCTTCTCATCTTGAAACACCTTCACAAGTTTCGCACCACAATCGACAATCATGCGGACCTTATTCTTCATAAATAGGAACCGTGCAGCCTGAGGTATGTCAGTGGATGGATAATGCAACCCTAGATATGGCTCCAGGCCAGGCTTCGTAAGCTC